TAGTAACTTTGAAAAGTTTGTATATGTGTAAGAAGTTATGATTTAGTTGGTAAAATTTTTTTTTTATATTTTGTTAATTAAAGTTTAATATTTTGAGAAGGCTAATGAATAAATAATGCCTTATTAATTCTTACTTTTAGCAAGAATGGCCTCTTTTAACTCAATCAAAGGAAAATTAATTTTGAAACAAGTACAAAGTGAGTTAGAAATAACTTAATTGTTAAAAAAAATTGGTGTATTTTTTTAAATAATAATATTTTAATATTTTTAAATAAATTATATATATAATTTTTATTATTATTAAATAAGTAAATACAAAATTATAATAAAGAATTGTAAAAAAAAAAAATCTCTTACAATTATTTTCTTGTTTTATTCACATCAGTTCTCTTTCTAATTTTCTTTTGCGAAAACGTTTCGGAAAATGATTCAGTTGAAAGTCGAAACGTTCGAATAACAAAGGACTTGGGTTGAAACTCGAAACGTTTCTTCCACTGGCAACTGTCATGAGTTTGTCGTTGTCTCTACGGGTACGGGATTGGGAAGAGCACAGAGCTCGTCTACTCCACAATTCCTTCTTTTTCACTTTTTTGACCGAAAAACATAGCCATAGTTCCATTCATTCCCTTCCTTTCCACCTGAATTCCATACTGAGAAGCTCGAAACTTTTGAAAGCAAAAAAGAAATATGAGGAATGATCTCTTCGCTTCCATTGACATGGGTACCAACTCCTTCAAGCTTCTCATTGTCCAAGCTAACCCGTCAGGCAGATTCCTCCCACTGTTAAACCTCAAAGAACCCTCCATATTGGGTCGTGGTTCCTCCTCCTCCTCCTCCTCCATCATCTCCGATCAGTCTCGCCTCCTTTCCCTCCACTCCCTCAAGAAATTCAATGAAGTAATCCGTACCCACCATGTCCCTATCCATCATACCCGCTGCGTTGCAACTGCATCCGTACGGGCAGCGGAAAACCAGATCCAGTTCGTGGAATCCGTGAAGGAAACTGTGGGATTAGAGGTTGAGGTCTTGTCTGGTGAACAGGAAGCGCGGCTTGCTTATCTGGGTGTGCTTCAATTCTTGCCATTGTTTGAGAAGTTGGTTCTAAACGTGGATATTGGAGGTGGGTCGACGGAGTTTGTGATTGGGAAGAGAGGGGAAATTGCGTTTTCGTGCTCTTTGAAGTTGGGTCATGTGACTTTGACACAGAAGTTTGGGGATCATGGTGAGAATGGAACTGAAAAGGTACTGAAGATGAGAGAGTATATTAGGATGGTGATTAAGGAATCTGGGTTGAGCCAGAAAGTTAAGGAATCAGGTTTTGAGATATCAGTTGGATCCTCAGGTACTATAAGGGCTATTGAGAAGGCAATTTTTTGTGGTTATGCAGGGGAGTTTGTGGACAAAGAGGTTTTATTTAGGGAATGTAAAAAGGAATGGAGGTTTACTAAGGAAGATTTAAGGAAAGTTGTTGATAGGTTGTGTAGTGGAGAAAAGAGAGAGAAGATAAGAAGAAATGGGTTCTTTAAGAGAAGATCAGAGTCTATTGTTGCTGGTGCTGTGTTATTGGAGGAGATATTTGAGTTGCTTGGGATTGAAGAAATGGATGTTTCTGGATATGGATTGGGAGTAGGTGTGATTTCTGAGACTTTGGCTAAAGTTTTTGATGGATATAATTTTAATGCAAATGCTAGGTGGTGTTCTGTCATGCAGCTTGCAACTAGATTTGATGAGAATAAGAGGATGAGCACAGCCGTGCTGTGTGCTGGCATTGCACGGGTAATTGTTATTTGTGAGCCTCTCGGTTTTAGAAAATTCTTTCAGATTGGTTCTCTTAATTGAATTAGCTTTGTAAGAAGCTTGTGTTTAACTAACAACCACTTTAAATGTAGGGGACTATGGCTTAATATTGTAAAATGGCAAATGCTTTCAAAATATCAGCAACTTAATTTGCCAAGATTTTGTAGTATAAATAATTGCTGCTGCACCAATCGTCAACTTTCTGTGTATCATGGTCGTCTTTTCTCAATTAAGATTTAATTTTCCATTTAGGAAGCAAATCTGAATTAAGTTTAGAAGATTTCCCTTCAATTTCCCATCTTAAATTGCACATCACAGTATTATTTTGATTGCCAATGAGCTCAAGTTTATGATTGATGCAGGATATTTTTGAAGGTCTGAGGACATGCGATGAGCCTGTTGACAATGACTTTAGACTTGCTGTTCCTTTAGATCACAAAGATCTTGAATATCTTGAAGCTGCATGTTTACTTCACAATGTGGGGCTCTTCCTTGGCGAAAAGGGTTACCATAAGCAATCATATAGCATTATCATGGTAAGTATTCTTTTTCTTCTGCAATATTCATGAAGATGTTGCATGATGTTCTAGACCAGCTAATCTTACTATGACTGGATATTAAGCAAGTTAGATGGTTTCCGATTTTGGGAATTGGATAAATATTTTCAAAAATGTGTTCAATTAAAATAAAAGGGAAAAACAGCTTATTGAATACTGATATGGATTTTTGCTGATCCAGGGGTTTAGAACTTCTAAATTTCTTGCATCGCATTATGGTTTCACCTTTTCATTCCTTACCCTCTGACAAACTTGATATGTTGTACAGAATGGTAATCATCTTTGTGGATATAGTGCCGAGGAGGTTAAGGTATCTACCATCTACCCTGCCTATCTATGATCTCTGAGGATTCTGTGCTTAATCTGTGTACCCTTAAGACACTCTTCTCTGATCTCCTTTTTGTGAGTTTACAGTTCATGGCATTGCTAACAAGATACCACAGGAAGAAATTCCCCAAGATTGATCATGGTTCTTTTATGGAGTTTCAAGAAAAGGTCTCCTACCCTTTATAATTAGTGAACTATAGCATTAGGTTTGATGTTAGCAGGAAGTATTGCACATTTGGTTAGATATTAAGGAAATTATCTCTTGTTTCACTATATTTCTTAATATTTATTTCAGGTAAAGCAGAAATTCGAAATTCTTTCTGCAATCATCCGCATATCTATTGCATTGCAGCGGATTGGTTGCACAAATCACGAAGACTTGGAATTTTCACACTCTGCTGAAGGTTTCAAGCTGGTATTTTCAGTTCTCTCTTTCCTTGAAAAAAAAGGAAAAAAGAACCATCTGTCTGAGTGTGATAAACACTCTAGGACTTTTTGCTGCCAAGAATACTTGAGGAAATTGATTTTAATGTTAAGAAGCATCATAGAAGAGGAAAAAGAGGCAGGAAACATTGGGCTTAGTATACTACACATATAGAGACTAGAGAAATTCAATTTCAATTAAGGATGTTTTAGCATTTTTTGCTGGTTCACATTCACATGCTTACATTCTCTGTTTTTTGCCTGGCAATGGTTGACTTTCCCCAGCCCCACCAAATGCAGAAGAAAGCTGTTGGACCATGTTTTTCTATATTTCTTAGATGCTGGTTTTAATATCATTAACGCAACTTCTGAATCTCGTCATTAATTAGCAAAATGCATAATTTTGTAATTCGTAGTAAGGGAAACATCCTCCTGTTCAATCAACTTAATGGTTTCTTTACAGGTAGTAGGACAAATAAGTGGTCGAGCTCTTTTGCCTAGCGTTCCACAACTTAAAGCTCAGGATATTGGATCAGAGCTAACAGAAGAGTTGAAGTACTTCAAAATGGTGAGTATCAAATCTAGTACTAATATAATATTTTCTTCTCCTTAAAATTTCATGAGTTCTTAATCAATACGATTGAAATTGCAAGATTTATTTTTCCTGTCATGAATAGCTTCCCCTCTCCTTTTCCAGGTATTCAAGAAAAAACTGCTTTTGGTATTGCCATCATTGACTTCAAATAAGTCTTGAGGATGAAATTGTTGGTGGGAGAACTGTCAGTTACTTTTACATATTGATGAAAAACAGTCTACAGTCACCACACACAGAAGAAATGCTTTTGCATAATGGCCTGCAAATCCAATGCTCAACCAAGATAATCCCATCTGCAATGTTGTGGAAACCTCAACCTGCTACTAACTGCCTTATATCTATAATCCTGCCTGGGAGCCTGGGACACAAAAGGGTTCAGTCCAAAGAACAAAGTCTCACAGTATCTTCTGTTTTCCTAAGAAAAAGAAGTTGTTGAAAGGTAAAAAGCATACCCAGCAAGTTCATGGCATAACCATTGCAGTCTGATGTCATATCAACCATGCTTGTTCCCAGGATTATTGCCAAAGCTTAGATTAAGTTATGCAGGATACCCTGAGGCATGATATCTGCTAAAACCATAACATCAAGAATTGTATCTGGCTTCCAAAATATGTTGTTTTGTTTGATAGACAGGAATTCTGAAGAACAGTTGACTTCAAGCTAAGAGTTGGTCATTGAATTTACCATTTATTAACAAAATGATTGAATATTTCTTTTTTTTCTTTTTTCTTTTTTCATTTTTGATCAGTGATTGAATATTTCTTTGTGTGTTAATAATGTTCACCATATCTCAAAAAGTCACTTAATAGTTAAAAATTTTAAATTTAAATTTTGATTTTGATAAAAAATAATTTTAAAAAAATATATTTATTTTTTCTCTTCTATAATTTATCATTAAAAAAAAAAAAGTACGCAAGAGACTTTTTCCCTCATTATTGTTTTTATTTCAACAGGAAAAGTCGATTTTGGTCCATCCGGTAAAGATAAAAAAATGTAAAAATTCATTAATAAAAACACACACACTTTTGGAAAAGATATGTGGGCCATCTCGTACCCCATCATTGCTCTTTTGTCATTTTGTGTGATTTTTTTTCCCCTCCTTTTAAAGGGCAAAATCTAACGACTTATCTGCTTATTCGTTACTACTTAGTAGCATTAGAATAAAGTGCGTTTTATT